GTCTGTCTGCTTCCCCCATCAACCGTAGGTTACCCCGTCTCCAACCCTCCCCAGATCTGGAAGGGTCTCCCTTCATTCCTCACTCAGCCCCCACATCGATCTGGGTATCCTTAAACCATAACCTCAGCATCACCTCTGCCTGCCTCTTCCTTCCTGATCTGCTCCCTCCAGATATTATTAGACTCCTCTGGATTTTTTTATGTTCCTATATCGATCCCTTCTCCTAATCCAGCTAGGTGTCTACCTTCATTCCAGTGGGTGTCCTTTAATTCCTATGTTCCTCCCCCCCACCCCACTTTCCATTCCTTATCAACCACCCCAAATCCATCCCAGTTGTCCTTAATTACTAACCCTAATCCAGTCCTCAAATTTAGTGGGGCGTTCTTTAGTCCAACTCAGCACCATCACCCCAGATCTCTCTGGGTGTCCTTTAATCCCTCTGGTGTCTCTTAATTCCTTATCCACCTCCATCTCTCTGTGTGTGTCTGCCCCCCATTCCTGACTCCTCCAATCCAATTCTTGTTCATTTAGTTGCCTTTGTTTATCTTTTTGCAAAATGCATTGCATTAAGGGGGGGGGGAATATGCAGCATTTTTTTTAGCAAAGAATCACTGGCAAAATCCTGCTCGCGCCCCCCCCCCCTACTCAGATGTAATTTCCCTACCCCCAGAGTCCTTCCTCAATTCACATGCTCCACACCTGCCTTATCCACCCCCATCTCCCAAGACATGTTCAGTATACAGCTTCCCTGGGTGTTAGTCAGAGCACCCAAAATGCCCCAACAAACACTTCCCAGAAGCTTAAAAAAACAACAACCCATCTCCGAAAGAGCAGCCTGATGGATAAATCAAAATTAATCAAAACATCAAGGACTGGTCCCTCTCATCCAAAACCTAGAATACATACCCAGCCTTATCCTTCCACCTCAGCACCCTAGATCTTCTGGGTCTCTGCCCCCTTTGCAAGTTCTTCCCTCAGATCATCTGAGTCAGATACATCCTCTCAACCCACTCCCCAAAACAGCAAGCATTCAGACACACTTCCTAGTCCCCATGCAGCTTCATTGATTGCACCCCAAAGCAGCCTAATAATCCTAGCAGGATTTGTGTCTTTCTTTCCAGCAAAACAAAGATGCCCTTCTAAATATCCTTCCTCTACCCTTGTAGGTTCTATACTTTATCCCTTGTTTCCCCCCCCCCCCCCGCACACACACAAAAACCTATGGAAGTTTCCTAGAATCTCAGTATAGGAGGATGTGGCCCTCTCCTTCTCTGTTGGTATTACCCCCCCCCACTCGTACCTATTATGTTCATGCTACAGCTGCAGCATATGCCATCTCTGAATGTAGAGAGCCTTAGTCCTCTTCCCCTACACAAGGCACTGACCTGCAGATCTCGACTCTCCTCACAACATTCAGGAATTTAGCCACCTCTCTCTCATTTTCTCCACAAAATTCAGGAACTCAACCACTTATCTCTGACTGTTTCAGTATATCCCCAAGCCTAAAAAATAAAATCCCAGCATATCCAGATGTAGCACCTTTTATAAAAAGTATTACACATCTGTAGTTACAGAGCTTTCAGAAGAGGCGCTGGCACTCACTGCTACTTGAAAGTAACTTCCTGTCTGACTTAAAAGGTTTACCCCCAAGCTTAGAGATGTGCACTGCAAAGTTGGTGAGAAAGGAGACACTCTGCATCTGCTCAGGAACCCTCTCTTCCTTGTTATTACTTTGCAGTCTTCACCGCACATCCCAGTTTGTCCACCACAGCTCCCTAACTTTCTTGTCTCCTAGCTTCCACTCTGCCTTCCTTCCCTATTTCTGGCTTTGTTTTCATTATGATTTTGCTGGCCACTTCTATATCACTTTTCAGCATGCAAAGTGTGGGCTATTCACTTGAGGCCCAGCCAGATTTCTCAGGAATGAGTCCCCAGGGGACCTAAGCCCATTCACATAGATGCACCCCTCCCCAACATTAATTTCCCAAGTTTTCATATTTGGCTGCATACGTGAACACATGAAGCTGTGTACCAAGCTGGACAATTGGCCTATCAGTCTCTAACATTTGCTCTGACTGACAGTGGCTCTCCATAGTTTCAGGTGGAGGTCTTTCAAACCACCTGCTACCTGGTCCTTTTAAATGGAGATGATGGGGATTGAACCTGGGACTGGCTGTACGCAAAGGAGGTGCTCTTCCACAGACCCGTGCCCCCTCCCTGTACTTATTAAGGATAAAACTCCCCTAAAACATGCGACCCTGTGATCCTAGAGAAGGAAAAAGTTTTCCCTAGCTAAGAGAGAGAGAGAGAAATTTATTGTCCCATTTTACAGTTCTTCAGTGGGGGGTTAGAAATACGGGGCAGCATGTCTCCTTCTGTCAACAACCTCAAAAACCCAAAATGTAAATACTTTAAAATTCAAAAATCCGTGATTTTGAAAATGTAATGAATTTGTACAAAATATCGTTTCAGCCCTACCTAAGCTTGGATATTTAAGATTCCTGTCCATAACAACTTTGTTAGACCTGTGTCAGTTGTATTTTGGAAGCCAAAATGGCTTCTTCATTTGGAGAGGTGCTCAGTGGCCCTATCCACATAGATCCATTTACTCAGAAATTACAAACAAGAGGATGATTAATGGTGAGGAAAATTGCATTTAGGTTGTACACTACAACCAGGTTGTGTTGCATTGTCCTGCACATGAATGTTGATTTTGTACGACTGTGATATTGTGTATGCAGCACATAGCTGTGCATAGTATTGTTGCTGGTCTAAACGCTTGAGATGTAATTATGGTGATCTGTGCACCAGAACTGACCATGGTGGTGTGGTTACAGGAATAGTGCGGTGAAATGGTGAGGTTGATGTTTTATACTCGGAAAGGCTTGGGGATTTGTCATGTTTCTGACCGGTGGGTGTGTTTAAACATGGTGCTGTAGCTGTTATCTGGAGCTTGGGTTCTAAGTCGGAGGGTACAAGTGTGACAATGCTGATCTGTACACAAAGATACAAATTTGAACTTGGTTCTCACCCCCTTAATCCTGAGTTCAGTTTTGGGATATATAAAGGAAGACCAGAGTTGAGTCCTTAGAGACCAACAAGATTTCCAGGATATAAGCTTTAGAGACTCAAAGCTCCCTTCATCAGAATGCCAGAGATTTGCCCTTGGATAGCTTATAACCTGGTCTGTTGGTCTTCAAGGTGTTACTGGGTCTGAATCTTGCTCTTCTACTGCAGACCAACACGGCTACCAACCTGAAACTATCATAAAAGAACAGGTAATGCGAGTCTTGGACTATGCACAGAGTATCTTTGCTTCACCTCTGGGTAACCACAGCTGGTTCCCCATCCACACACACAGACATCAAATGATGTTAACGCATTGTTACCAGTGATTAATTTTGCCAGATCCTCTAGGCCAGACCCGTAACTCACACATGTTGCATGTATGTGGAGTGACTGCAGTTGCTCAGTGCTGAGAGGAATTGGCCTTTGTGCATGCTTAGAGTCACTCTGATCTATATTGTCGCTTCCCATATTACAGAACTGGACCTGGTGTTAACCAGGCTTTGAGGCCTTTTGTTACCCATCTCTGAGCCCCCGTAGTTTTCTTTCCTTTGTGAAGGAGGATGTATTGTGTGCGTGTGATATTTCTGGAACTAGTCCGGGGACTGGCAGAGTCTGGAACAGGGGATAGTTAAAGGGTTTAAGTGAACCACCCTGGCCTCCTCCACTCAAAGACACCAGGTTGAAGACAAGAGTGTTGCCATGGTAACAGGGCGCCATTAAATATCTGAAATGCTGCCGTAGTAACAGAGCAGAGGTAGTTTAGGGCTGTCGCTGTGGTGACTTTGGGGGCCATCACTTTGGAAACCAGGAAATGCTAGAGGTGTTTACTAAGAGGCAAGAGTATCACCATGGCAACTTAGAAGCAAGTAGAGGTCAGGGAGTGTCACCGTGGCAACAAAAGGATGCAGGGAAGCCATCAAAAACAGGTTGTGACAATACGAGGGCACGATGCGAAATATTGTTCGGTAATAATGAGCATCTGAGCATGCGTAGAGTTTCTTACCCCACCCCTCTGAGT